TACATAATTCCACATATTTGATAAACTATTTTTTCCAGTTTATCGTGATTTCCTCAAAATGGCTTAAAGTACCATATGTATATCTAGAATGTTCTCAACCACTCAAATCAGTAAATGCAGAGATCCCTTTGTCAGGTTAAAAGGTCCATTAATAGGAAAGAAAGGTGGTCAGTGATCACACATACATATAAAGGACTTGGACAGGTCTTTGGGCCCTCACTGACCGCAAAGGACCAACCCCAATGCGAATGTATCAGTGCCGTGGGTAAACGCAGTCACACAAATTAGTATGCGCCCCTACAAAAACACATGCCTGAGGAGAAACAGCTGGTTCCAGATCAGAGGCAGGGAAAATACAAGTTGGGTCTGGAAAAACAAGATGTTTCAGTGTGCCATAGAGAAAGTGGTCCGAGAATCCTGGGGACATGTCAAAAGCACACAGCTGAAAGCGGCTCTACTGGCCAAATTCAAGACAATTCGTGAATCAAGATAATGATAACAATGGATGATAACCCAATGAATAAAATAAAACTCCATGAGTCTAAACTGATATAAATAATAAATAAATAAATGTGTAAAAGAAAGCTCTTCCTTATAGCAGACTGCCAACTAATAAAGAAACGATGGAGTTAATAAGTCAATGGATGTTAAAGCTACTGCATGAAAGCTTGATGAGCAATAGGCTACTTACATAATCTCAAAGTATCTTTCCACAAATTTTAAAAATCACAAATGGAAAAATAGAAACTTGACAGTTTAGAGAAACCTGGTGATCATTACCTTAACCAAGTGATAAAAGGTACCATCCCTGGGTATGGGACAAGTTATCATGTGCCTCCTGATATGAGGCACTGAAAACAACACAGAATCACTTCTGTGGTATTCTTGCCTAAAATGCAAAACCTTAATCAGAAAGAGACACGAGACAAGACCAAACCAAAGGGTTGTCTATAAAATAATGAGCCTATCTCTTTAAGAAATGGTTCAGTCAAGGAAAACAAAGCAGAGGAGCAGGTCCAGATCCAGGGAGACTGAGGAGCCATGGAGTACTTCAACACGGTCTGGAGTGGACCCCAGGTTTGGGGGGGGGGGTAGTAAAAGGAAAGTCCACATTTATTTGACAATGATCATCGTCGTCATCATCAAAAACTGCTACACACAGCACTCACTGTGTGTCAGGCAGTTTAATATACAGAATGGGGAATTCTTGGAACAACTAATGAAATCTGAATGTGGATTATGGATTATTGTGTATTAATGCTAAATTTCTCGATTTTGATAAGTGTGCTCTGTGTAAGACAAAGTCCTCATTCTTCAGAAATACATATTGAAGTATTCAAAAGTGAAGGGTCATTTCTAATTAACTGTCAAACAATTAAAAAGAAACTGTGGGGGTTTAATGTGCACCGAAAATCATTTGTGTATAAAAAGCCTTACAAATTATTATAGACTTGACCTAATTCCTTAGAGAATTAGACCTGAAGGACACTATGAACAATGTCCAACAGGCTATTACTGTGATAAATAAAAACATACAATTTTAAAAGGTTTTCATAGTTCAGATGATAAATTGGCTGAAAAGCACATGGCCAAACCAGCTTTAACAGAAAATAACTTACTTTAGCCAGAAATCACAAAAGAATACAAATAGTTAATATTTACTTTCAAAGTCTGAAATTCCAACTCGGGCAGCAAGCCATCATTTCATAAGCACAAAATATTACAGTTTGAGATTACTTGATCTAACCTCTGATTCAAAAGAGAAGGATGTCACTCAATAATCACTTTAATAATAAAAATCAATAGCAAATATCATACTTACCTTTTGTAGCAAATCTCATGAATAACTTATTTCCTTTAGCAAGTTTATTAGCTGGACGAAGATCGTTTCTTAGCAGAGACTCTTCTTCTACCTGAGATAATGTTTCCAGCTTAAGAAAAAAGAGCATTTCAATATAAAAAATTAAAGCCATTTTCACTTTTATTCAGTAGCAAAGTTACCGTTGATTAAGAAAGCATTCTGCCTTTAATAACATTCTCAATATCACAGCACCAGTTCTAAGTCAGAGGTCTTCCCTGACCACTTTGTCAAACAATGGTTTCCATCACTCTCTATCCACTTACCCTTCCTAACTTTCCTCATGGCAATTATCACTGCCGGACATTATATTACATACCTGTGTATCTGTATTCTCTGTCTTCTCCACTAGAATGTAGGCTCCAAGAGAGCAAACACTTTGCTTGGCTTGAAGCTATATAATGCCTATTTTTATATGAATACACTTTAATTTTTCCAACAGTAGTACATAATCTGTTAGGAAATATGCCATTTCTTGCTTTTTCCTAATTTTACTTATTAGGTAACACTTCAAAATATTTCTTAACAAAATCATTTTCTCTTACAGAAGTGTGAGTACTATTCTAAGATCTCAAGATGAATCATTCATTACAGTCACACAAACTTAAAAACCAAGGGTCTGGTGCACCCTCAGGAAGTCTAATGGTGAGAGCCAGAGGAAGAACACAATTTACTAAGTCTTTAAGCCTTAAATAAAAACATAGCAAGCAGTTTTTTACAGTGAAACCTTACATATACATAGATATAGATATAGATATAGATATAGATATAGATATATAGATATAGATATATATATCTTTTCCCTATTACTAACCTCTACATCACTTGAGTTTTCATCTTCAACTTCTCCTTCTTCAGCCTCATCATCTGAACTGTCTTCCTGCTTGTCTAAAATTGAATGTGAGGGACAAGATGAACTTTAACATAACTCCATCTCATATCATTTAAAAGTTCGATTATTTTCTCCATCTATTTACTAATGATCCAAACCATCAAAGCCTATTTCAGAAATAACTAGTGATGAGATACTATGTAACACTTTGCACAGAAACCCAAACCAACTGAGTAAATAATAGGACATTCAGCCCAAAAGTCCCTCCTGTGTGTTCAGTTACCTTTTTTGCTTTTCTCAGATGACTTGTCCTCATTGGCATCCCTGCTTCTTATCTTATCCAGGTCTGGCAGAGAGCTCATATTGATAAGGGCTCGTGTGGCTGTCATTTCATCCAGCCAAACCACATTACCTAAAATAAAATGTAAAATAAAACATTATATCACATCCAAATGGTTGTTTCCTAAGAGCAGAAACTGCATCATATTCATTGTTAAACCTCATCTAGGTACAGATTGAGAGCAATAAATATACAAACCAACGAATGAAAAGATTAGGAAGTAGTAGTAAAACTTCTTTGATGAAATTGGCCTTGAGCTGCATTCCCCAACTGGGTTCCACAAAATAATGATCAAAGATTCCACAAAAAAGTGTTTATATAATGAAACTGCCTGGCACACAGTGCTATGTGTTAGTTCTTAATGAGGATGATGATGATAATTATCAAATAAATGTGGATTGTCCTCTATACCACTGCCCCTCCAGGGAAGCCCTATGCTCTTCCCTATCATCCAGACATGCTTTTAAATGATGTCCACCCACTGATGATGGTACCTTCACGGATATATACAATGGAGACATAACAGACACTTGGCTTTGTAGCAACTAATTGAATTTGCTGCATTTATATCTCAGAGTTGAGGTCTAAGAGTCTCACCTTTGTTACCAACACGCCATGTGGCCTTGGGCAATTTCCCTTCTCTGTTTCTCAGTTTCTTGGTTTCTGATGCACAATATGAGGTAGCTGAACTGGATAATTCTAAGGGTCCCTCCAACTGCAATATCCCTTACCTAGTTTTAATGACTTAGAGCAGTGGTTAGCAAACTAAAACCTGCAGGTCAAATCCAGCCCATCATCTGTCATTTATTTGTTTATATTTGTACCTGATTTATTTAGGTATAATTAATGTAAAATAAACTACACATCCACTGCCTGTTTTTGTAAAATAAAGTTCTATAGAAAATAGCCAGGCTCATTCAACTACATACTGTCGATGGCTGCTTTCATGCTATTATAGCAGAGCTGAATAAATGACAGAGACTATATGATCTGCAAAGCCTAAAACATTTACAACCCAGCCTTTTATAAAAAAAGGTTTGGCAACCCTGATTTGGAAAATGTAAGTTAAGGAAAAAGAAAACAGGAGAAAAATAGTTTACTCTGTCATGTTTCTTCTTATTTCAATGAAAACGTTGAATCAATATCTTTTAAAGAAAGCAGCCAGAAAAACCAGGCTGCTATACAGGGCACAACCTGGTAGGCCAGCAAGCTAGCAGTAAGTGAAGCCAGGCTAGAAGTGAGTCAAGACAAGAAGCCAGTAGCGTGGTCACCAGAATCAGAACAGACTTGGAGTGGGGAGGCAAGGTAAAAATTACAGTTGGCTCACAAGTTAAACAGCTCACAGGTTAGTGCAAGCAGGTGAAATTCCAGAAAACACAGTCCAAAGCAAGCAGACACGAGAGGTCTGGTAAAGTGGCAGGGATTCTGACATAGTTCTAGGTTAGAGACACTGAGGCAGAGCCAGCCCCTGGATAGTCAATTGTATGGCAAGTTGCAATGACAAAGTCTAAAGCCCTGAAAACGCAGCCCTCAGCTCAAGTCTACACAGCTGGATCCACCCCTTTGTTGGGAAATCGTGGGAGTTAAAGAGGCCTTAATCGTGTACACTGGGCTCAGATGCCAGCAACCAGCTTTATAAGCCCTGGTCACCACTCTGAGCTGACTTAGAATACTCACGGGGTGTAATTTGGTAGACTGGTTAATGTATCTGGTTTTTTTTTCTCTTCTACGCTAAGGGCAGAGGTTAGGCACAGACAAGTAGTCTGGGCCATAGTCATTCACCATCTGAGGTGGCAAGAACAATTTCAAAATCATAAGCAAAAACATACTCAACAGAAAACTTGGTATACTTACAGGAGGTATCATCCAACCATTCAATGTGAGCCGGAGGGTATTCTTTAAAATAGGAAAAGATATCCTGGGTACTCATCTCATCTACTCCGCAAATGTAGATTGTCTCCAGTCTCACTTTGGGGATTGCTAAAAACACAGGACACAGAAAAGATGATAGAATTTTCCCACCCACTATTGCACATTCCACCCTATTACACAGTTCGGGTAACATGTGTTTAGAAAAGAAATATGCTGAAAGAGATGACATTTATTTTAAAAGAAAATGATAGATGACAGCAAGGTACACTATTTTGCTTTTTATCACAGACCAAACAGCATTAAATCAATTATTTAATTCAGAACAGGCTTTTGGCTGAAAAAGATTAAACAATTAATGGTGATAAAATACACAATACCTCTCCCCAAATTAACCTGCAATAATTAAAAGCAATACCAAATTCAATAGGCTTTTTCATTAAACTAGGCAAGCTGATTCTAAAATCTATATATATAAAAAAGCCTAAGCAACCGGCAGACCGGCAGACCATCCAGTCGCTATGACGTGCACTGACCACCACGGGGCAGACGCTCAACGCAGGAGCTGCCAAGCTGTAGTGACTTGGCAGCAGAGGTTCTCAAATGACACACCCCGAAACCAGAGAGGAGGGAGCCCAATTCCTCACGGCACTGCACGATTTCACCTTCAGCCGTGGGTTATGTTGTTGCTGGGGCACTGTCGGGCCTGAACGCAAATTTCACCTTCAGCCGTGGGTTATGTTGTTGCTGGGGTACTGTCGGGCCTGAACGCAAACTTGCCTTTGCATTCCACACCCTGTACGACAGCAACTTTGCAGAGTGCCCTCGCGCACTCCGGGACCCCTTGGGGGATGTCAGAGCAGGTATCGGCCAATCCCTGCAGGCCAGGCCAAGGGACCTCACCTGCCAGAGGGACCCTGCTCACTCCACAGACACCAGGGAGGGACCACAGGAGGTTGGCTCCAGGGCATGTCCAGCCCATCTCACCCAGCCACCTTCTAATTAATTTCCTTTCAATGTGCACGAATCCGTGCACAGGGTCACCAGTTTTTAAATATTTATCAAAGAAAAATATGAAACAGTTCAGCCATTTCTGAAAAAGAAGAGATGCTGCCCCTGGATATAAAGCAAAGAAGGAAACTAGAGTAAGGACATCCTACAAATACTGAGAAAATGACAGCTTAAAATAAAAACAGGCAAAGAACATGAGTAGACAATTCACACAACAGGAATTACAATAAATATATGAAAAGATGGCTGACCTCACAATCAGAAACACACATACAAAAACAAGATGCCACTTTTCAATTACTAGAATTTTTTTTAATTTATGTATTTTATTATCAATTGTTGGTAGTGTGGAGAAAAGAGCCCCTCCCTCTGCTGGTGGGATTGTGAAGTGGCACAGCCACTCTGAAGGACAAATTGGAAGTGTCTATTATAAATGTAATTTAGCACATGCCCTTTAGGCAGTTACTCCTCATGTGGGTTCACACAGTAGCTCACACAAAGATGTTTGTTTTGTCATTTTGAAGAGTAAAAGGTTTAAGGGGAGCCCATGTAGGTGCGTCCAGACTACCTGGTAAATCAGGTGATACCTTCCTGCCACCCAGATAATGAAGATGGAGATACCATTAAGACCTATGACTCTCAGGAAATCCTTATTAGTGACCAGTGGTGCAACAGTGAACAAAGGCCCAAATGAGACAGGTGTTCACAATGGACATCCAGGTGGGGAAACTGAAGGAGTCAGACCAGGGAGCCTTTTCAGTTCTTGGAGCTACAAGCCATGAGTATGGATGAAAAAGGTCCCATGGGAAGTAGAGAGGGAACAGACAACAGGAAGAGCTCCTGGAGATGGCAGAGAAAACAGACCAGGGGAAAATATCTGTGGAAGACTTGTTGACCTGATAACAGGGTTTAATCATAAATAAGACAAGCAATAAATAAATAAATAAATACCAAAAGAACCGACAAAAATAAATACCAAGAGCATCATAGCACTGTTCTAACATTATAATGCTTTTATTAAAAACAACCAAAAGAACCGACAAAAATAAATACCAAGAGCATCATGGCACTGTTCTAACATTATAATGCTTTTATTAAAAAAAACAACAACAACACAACCCTGCAGAAATAGCTTAAAAACAAAAGATGGTAAGGAATAAAACTTCTGGCCTCAGATCTTTATTTATTAAAATTTTTTTAAATTGATATTTTGAGAGAGAGGAAGGGAGAGGAAGAGAGAGAGAGAAATATCAATGATGAGAGAGAATCGTTGATCGGCTGCCTCCTACACGCCCCCCACTAGGGATCGAGCCTGCAACCGGGCATGTGCCCTGACTGGGAATCGAACTGTGACTTCCTGGTTCATAGGGTGATGCTCAACCACTGAGCCACGCCGGCTGGGCTTTATTTCAATGTACAGAGAATGGTATACACATCTAGAAATGGGCAATGAACAGTCTTGTTCAAAAGAAGCAGGTATAGATACAAAAGCCATTATCACTACAAAGACAAACGTTTCAATGAGCTGGAAGAAAAGTTCATTCTCAAAAGAGAACCAAGCCGACTGTGGCAAGACCCACTAGAGATGGAAACCTTGTTAAGCTCAAAATTTGATGGAAGATTGCCAAAGGAGAATGCTCAATGCTTCCTCACCTTGCTGACAATGTCGCTGCTTAAAATAAAACAAAGCAGGAGCCTACATTTGTGCCCAATCAATGAGGAAGGGCTAACTGCTGAAATGGCAGTGAACAGATGGATGAGGGAGTGAGACCTGGCCATTCACTGAGTGCTGACTACCAGCAAGGTGGTGAGGGCAGCATCTTGCTTTTTTTTTAACAGGAAAGAAAACAATGAAAGACAGGGAGTAGGAAAGTAGATTTCTGAAAATCCATAGAAAAAGAAGCCAATCCCATGGCCTCACACTAGAGTGTTGAAAAAATTTATAAGACATTAAATATAGTTACTCAGAATATGAGAGGGGATTCCCAGGAAAGAGAAGGCAGCAAAGCTTGGGTGAGAACAATCTGCCAAATAACGCATATGGGAGACAGACAAAGGGTAAATTACTAAAGACAAAGGTAGAAGAATAAATGTAAGAATCTAAAAGACTAGCATCAGGCTATACAATGACATGGAAATGCAAATGGCAGATTGTCAAGTGAAAAGGAAAAACAAAAATAAAATCTGCATACAGAAAAGATTAGAAGAAAATACACAAAATGTTGACAATGACTGGGTTTGGTGATAGATTGTGGGCAACTTTTCTTCTTACTCTCCTTTCCAAGTTTTCTTTGGTGAACATGAGTTGTTTGTGAAACATCTAATGAAGAAAAGGGTACAGTTCAGAGTATATAAGCTCATCAAAAATGCTGATGGCTTTTTTTTTTTTTGTACACCAAAAAGTTACAGGTTTGATCCCCAGTCAGGGCACATACCTACGCTGTAGGTTTGCAGGGTTGCTTCCCAGTTGGGGCACATACAAGAGGCAGCTGATCGATGTGATATCTCTCTCTCTTTCTCTCCCCACCCCTTCTTCTCTCTCTAAAATCAATAAAACATATCCCCCGGTGAAAATTAAATATATATATATAATTTTTAAAAAATTAATGTCATTCTCTGGAATTTTTAAAAAGTAGCTGATCAAACAGAATCTACAATCCCTTAAGAAACCAAGTCTCACCCTAACCGGTTTGACTCAGTGGACAGAGTGTCGGCCTGTGGACTGAAGGGATGCAGGTTTGATTCTGGGCAAGGAAATGTGCCTTGGTTGCAGGCTCGGTCCCTGTCCCTGGTCAGGGTGTGTACGGGAGACAACCAATCGATGTGTGTCTCTCATAACGATGTTTCTCTCTATCTGTCTCTCCCCCTGCCTTTCACTCTCACTAAAAAAATCACTAGAAAATATCCTCAGGTGAAGAGTTACAAAGCAAACAAAAAATGAAACCAAGTCTCTCCCATTGGGAATGACGTGAGTTCTCTAAGAAGCCACACAAACCTCTTTTCTTTTTTTGGCAGCATTACCCCACACCAAGAAATTCAAGTTCTATCTCGAGACCATTAAGGCATGTAATCTAGTTCCTCATGACAATAAAATGAAATGTGGACCTGATAATAAACTAAGGCTTACAATTCATGGATCTATGTTTCATGGCATGATATGGGATTATCCTGATCAACATTTACCAACAACTGATAAAGATGCAGAGGCCTGGCATACCAAAGTGAGGAATATAGCTAAAATGCTAAAAGGTACAGTTAAGATGGAAATGAACTAGACAGACTGAAATGGAGTCTTGAAATTAATAAGATATAATTTGGTAAAGATAAATAAGGAAGTAATTTTTAAACAGTGCCTCAAGTACAAGACTGCTTTTTTAAAAAAAAATATATCTTATTGATTTTTCACACAGAGGAAGGGAGAGGGATAGAGAGTTAGAAACATCGATGAGAGAGAAACATCGATCAGCTGCCTCCTGCACGCCCCTTACTGGGGATGTGCCCGCAACCAAGGTACATGCCCTTGACTGGAATCGAACCTGGGCCCCTTCAGTCCGCAGGCTGATGCTCTATCCACTGAGCCAAACCGGTCAGGGAAAGACAAGACTGCTTTGATGGGGAGAATTCCTAGGGAAAAGACCAGGGTGCTTCGGTTGACTGGAAGGTGAGTACACTATGAAATAGGTAAGACAGAAATCATGGTGTAGCCCTGCCATACTCTGCATGAATCCAACAATATCTGAATCTACACCTCACCTTATGAAGGACATTTAGAGATTGAAAAGAGTGTAGAGGAGAGAGGCTAGGAAGTCAAGTCACATAAACAAAGTGTAGGAAATGGGCTTACTGCTCATTCCTGAAGGATTATTATGTGAATGAGGAAAGAACATAATGTTGTTCTAAGGGTCACAAAATAACTAATAGACAGAAATTATTAGAAAGTAATTTCTGTTCAACATGAGGAACATGTATTAACATGTATCCAACAATTACCTACAAGGGAATACCCATACGACTGTCAGCTGATTTCTCAACAGAAACTTTGCAGGCCAGAAGGGAATGGCAAGAAATATTCAAAGTGCTGAATACCAAGAACCTACAACCAAGAATACTTTATCCAGCAAAGCTATCATTCAGAACTGAAGGTCAGATAAAGAGCTTCACAGATAAGGAAAAGCTAAAGGAGTTCATCACCACTAAACCAGTATTATACGAAATGCTGAAAGGTATCCTTTAAGAGGAGGAAGAAGAAAAAGGTAAAGATACAAATTGTGAACAACAAACATGCATCTATCAACAAGTGAATCTAAGAATCAAGTGAATAAATAATCTGATTTACAGAATGAACTGGTGATTATAATGAATCAGGGACATAGAAAGGGAATGGACTGACTATTCTTGGCGGGGAAAGGGGAATGGGAGATGCGGGAAGAAACTGGACAAAAATCGTGCACCTATGGATGAGGACAGTGGGTGGGGAGTGAGGGCGGAGGGTGGGGCGGGAACTGGGAGGAGGGGAGTTATGGGGGGGGAAAAAAGAGGAACAAATGTAACCTGAACAATAAAGATTTAATTAAAAAAAAAACAAAAAAAAAACATGTATCCAAAAATTGACCTGTTCAACATGAGGAACATGTATTAACATGTATCCAAAAATTGCTTCATAAATAGTTCTTCTGCCGTCACTAGGAAATGTTCAAGCAGAAGCCAGAAGACCATTGGGAACTTTGCCAAAAGGCCTGAAGCGCTGGGCAGGCGGTGACTTTTGATGACCTCTAAGGTTTCTTCCAACCACGAAGGCTTTGATCTTGGGGATAAGGAAACAAAAGCTGCTCGACCTTGAGTCGCTAAGAGTAAGTAGCAAGTCACTCTTGATGCAGAATGATCAGTGCAGCACATCCCACACTCTACCTGAGAGCTGGCAGAGGTGAGGGACACCGGCTTCAGCCAGACCAGCCTTCAGATCCCAGCCTTGCTACTTACCTAGCTGTGGGACCCCAGGCAAGGTTCTCAGCCTCTCAGCACCTTAGTTTCCCCACCAGTAAAACAAATGGTAATTCCCTTCCCTGCACAGGGCTGAGTGGCATATAGTAAGCATTTACCAAACGTATCTTTGTTGCCATTGGTATTAAAAAGAAGCAATAACTTGACACCTAATGTGGCTGCAGGAGCCAAGATGTTTATTCCAATGTTCCCATTCTCCCAAGAGGCTAGGCCACTTAGAAGACTGCTGGGAAGATGGAAAATGCCAGATAATGAAAATAACAACTAACATTTATTGGGGACTTACTATGTACCAGACGTAAGAACTGTAACATTATGCTAGAGCAGCGATTCTCAACCTGTGGGTCGCGACCCCTTTGGGGGTCAAACACCCCTTTCACAGGAGTCGCCTAAGACCATCGGAAAACACATACATAATTACATCTTGTTTTTGTGATTAATCGATATGCTTTAATTATGTTCAATTTGTAACAATGAAATGGGGGTCACTACAACATGAGGAACTGTATTAAAGGGTCGTGGCATTAGGAAGGTTGAGAACCACTGTGCTAGAGCCTCCCAACAACCCTATGAAAACTACTGTTATCTGCCTCTCCATATAAAGAAACTGAGTTTCTTAGAGCCTAAGTAACTTCCCCAAGTCACCGAGCTAGAAAGGAACAGGTCAGGATTTAAATATAGGCACCCAGGCTTCAGAACCCACACTCTTTTCTTTAAAAAACAAACAAACTGCCCTAACCGGTTTGGCTCAGTGGATAGAGCGTCGGCCTGCGGACTGAAAGGTCCCAGGTTCAATTCCGGCCAAGGGCATGTACTTTGGTTGCGGGCACATCCCCAGTAGGGGGTGTGCAGGAGGCAGGTGATGGATGTTTCTCTCTCATGGATGTTTCTAACTCTCTATCCCTCTCCCTTCCTCTCTGTAAAAAATCAATAAAATATATTTTAAAAAATAAAAAAATAAAAAAAATAAAATAATAAAATAAAATAAAAACAAACTGATTTTAGAAAGAGGAAGGGAAGGAGGGAAAGGGAGGGGGAGAAGGGAGAGGGGAAAAGGGAGAGGGGAGAAGGGAGAGGGGAGAGGGGAGAAAGAGAGAGAGACCTAGACATGAGAGAGACACATCATCAATTGGTCGCCTCCCACATGAGTCCCCACCAGGGCCAGGGAACCTGCAACCGAGGTACATCTCCTTGACCAGGAATTGAACCCGCAACTCTTCAGTCCATGGGCCAATGCTGTAACCATGGAACAAAAAGGCCAGGGCCAGAACCCACACTCTCAATCACCATACCAATGGTTCTCAATCTTGACTGTACATTAGAATTACCTAGGGAGATATAAAAATAACTATCGCTGGGACCTATACAAACCCCTCGCCTACCTCCCATCCTAATTTAAAATGATCTGGGGTAGGCAGCAGGATTCTCCAGAGTTCAGGAATACTACCCTAGACTATGCTGCCTTCTGGATGAAAACAGATTAAAATGAGCAACATGTCCCAGCTCATCCAGGCAGGTCTATTGCTTTTTAGGAATATCTTTAGAACCATAAGATTAGTATTGCTTTTCAAAAAATATTAATAATAATAATTTTTTTTAAATTTAACTCCAGAAAGGATCCTATTTAGGTAGGTATCATATTTTCACTTTATAAACAAGGAGATTGAGACCTAAAAAGGTTTAATAACTTGTCCACATTCACAAAGGAACTGAGAAAAAGATTCCAGGAGGGCACCAGCACCAACAGAGGTAAGAAATTTGAGTGGGTGATCAGGGCTTCATGGGGAAAATGACATCTGAACAAGACAAAGCACGGGACAAGGAAGGGCACAATCAGCAGAATGAAAAGGCATGAACTGCCACAATGAACGCTCACCGGCTAGAGGTAAGCAAGCTGCAGTTATGAGAGAGGCTTCAGAGCTCTGCTTGGGCCCAGACTGAGCAGGCACATGAATGCCAAGCTGCACAGCTATCCTTAGCCTTCAAAGGACTTTTCCTGAAACAGAAGTCCACTCAGGTAGATGCCTGGAAACCCAGCCTGCAAGGGCAGCAAGGCCATATTTCCAACTTGAACTCATGAGGCAGAAAAAAAGTGTAAAGCAGGATTCAGAGTTGAGCTCTGCATCCAAGCTACTCACCCACTGGGGACAGACTGAGGAGATTTGGGTCTGTGCTGTCATATCACATACATGAGGCGATAGAGCAAAGCAGTTAAGAGCAAGGCTTTAGAGTCAGATAAACCTAGGTCGAAATCCTGACTCCACTTTTACGAGCTGCATAACCTCAGGCATTTACTAAACTTCTTTGAGCCTATTTCTACTTCTTTGTAAAACAGGAATAAAACATATATTCCTCATAGGGTTGTTGTGAGAAATGAATAAGAAACGAATATGCAATATGCCAACTAACACCGTGCCGGGTAAGACAGCAAGTTCCCCCAAAATAGTAGTTATTCTTTTGTTCATTCAACATGCTTTTATCAATCAAGCAAGCCTAGAGAAACTCATACAGCAGAGCACAGACCTTTAACATGCAGAGGTCTGCCTATTAAGTCCTTCAGAAATACCCAAATTTGCAAATACAACAGAAGAAGACCTTTTGTACTCATGGATTTATATTAGCGTGGAATAATAAATATGGCTATGAACGCACTAAAAATTTTCCCTTTATTTTATAAACTGCTTCAGAAGACTGGGGCAGATTACTCTTTATAATTCAGGGTGAGTTCCAGGAAGCAAAACATTTACCCTAATAAAACAGAAAAGTAAGATAAAATCACAAGCCTGCATCTAAAGAAGCACTGACAGCTTTCCCCCCCAATCCAATGTTGCTCTGACTCCCCTTAAAGAGGTCTCACTGTGATATACATTTATTTTATTTTTTTATCCTCATCCAAGGGTATTTTTTCCATTAATTTTTAGAGAGAGTAGAAGGGAGAGGGAGAGAGAGAGAAAAACACCAATGTGAGAGAGACACGTCGACTGGTTGCTGCCTGCATGCCCCAGATCAGGGCCGGGAGCCTGCAACCAAGGTATGTGCCCTTGACCAGAATGGAACCCGGGACCCTTCTGTCTGCAGGCCAATGCTCTAGCCACTGAGCCAAACTGGCTAGGGCTACTTCCAATACATTTAAAAACAAAGAAAAGTTAAGCTTTCTATGGTAAGAGCAGGAATGGGTGAGTCCGTAGAAGCATAGGTTCTAATCTCAGCTCTGCCACTAACTGGGTGACGTTCTTTGAGCTTCCTCCGACAAGACAATCTTTTTTTTTCAACTCTAACATCTGAGACACAGCTAATGCAACTTTAAACAGACCACCTCAAAAATGGAGACTTCCTTTCCTTTGGGAGTATTTGAATGAGGACTGGACATACAAGGCGAGGCCAGAAGCACCAGCCATAGTAGGAAAAAGTTACTGTCTGGGAAATGTGGAAAAATTCCCCCCAAACACCCAGTACCTTTCTTCATCATGTCTCGGTCCAAGGCTATATTTCTTTGGGCAAGATCTACTTCTGATCGTAAATGGAAGCGCTTGGCTCGTTGTTCTTTCTTTTCAATTGCTTCCTAGAAGGTACAGAAAAAGCCATGTTTCAATGAACGAGAAAAGTTAGATCGCACACACAATCACAAATACAACATAATGCATCAGTGACAACCCTAAAATAAATCAGAAGAAATAAGCAACAATGTACCTTTAATAATTTTTGCAGAGAACTGGATATTCAAAGTCAATGACTGGGAGGGTGTACATTAATGCTGCTATAATTTGTAATAATCTCCATGATGATTCAATGCCTATCACTGTGTCTGAGGCAGAGTAGGAATTCAATGAATATTAGTTGATCCAATGAGTAATAAGGAATGCTTAATTCTCTGACATTTCATTTATTAGCAGTCATGATTCAAACAAATTACAACTAAACAATCTCAAATCTCAATTTTCCAGGTGCAGAAACTGAAGCACAAAAAAGTTAAAAGGTTTGCTGGAGGAACTTCAGCACTAAGTGGTGCAGAACTTCTGATCTCAGTGCTATTTCTAGGAGCCCGCCCCCCATCCCCATTTCACTGTCTGTGTGCATGGTAATCACACCTATCACGCTCATCCACATTATGTCTGCATGAGCAGTCCACTCCCTAAGGCTTTTTCCTGGTTTAAAAATAGCTTTGAGGCAAAGAAACTCTCTCTCTTGTAGGCTTGTGTCCATGGACTTGCCAGTTTTCATTTTTAAGTGACAAAAAGCATTGACGCTTCACTGAAAAACAAAATAATCAGCTTCGTAAGTTTTTTTTTCCAAGAGCTAAAATAAATCCAGATCCAACTGTGTTTCTGATAGCTCTTGGGAACCCTTTGCTAATTACATACTGACTTTGCCACACTAATTGAAGGTCTGACTGTATAGAAAGCTTGTGGGGATTGGTAAAGCAACAACACTTCTGTTATTTCCCAAGTTATGCTAATTTTCTTCCCTGAAATCTTCACAGTGCAAACAGCTAATCTACCTTTCTTTAGTAACAATTTAAGTACCAATTCTGGTACTACCACCCTTTCCCCCATTATATCTGTTTAATATAATGGCAAACTGTGTAGGATTAAGAACAGTACAGTCTACTTCTGGTTCAATTACAATAAGAAAACATCTTCACTTTATTTTCTTGTTTGTCTAAAAGATCACTTCTTTCTTTTGGCCTTTAAGCCATTTAAGACAGATCGAGTCCCAAATAAAATATAAAAATGTAAGTATGACATTTTATTTTTTATTTTATACATCCAATATAGCAACAGAGTACTATTATTCAGAATTCAAGATTCTATTCCACTCAATTGCACACATTAAAGTAGAAAGAATGCCTAAACTGGATATCACCAATTAAAGCAACAAATATGCACTATTTATAATAAGAAAAATAATAGGTTTGGCTCTGTGAGGAATTACAGTGAAGTTGGTAATCTAGTAACAGCAATCACTAGATAAGATAGTATTCCCAGGTACTGAGAATAATTCAGCTGACTTGGTCTTCAAAGTTTAGATAGCCACACAGTAAGGAAATCCTATTTTTCCGGGTATTTTTGTTTGTTTTTGTTTTTGTTTTTAGAGAGGGAGGAAGGGAGAGAGAGAGAAAAAAAATAACATCGATGTGAGAGAGATACATCAATTGGTTGCCTCCCGCACGCACCCCAATCAGGGATCAAACCTCACAATCTAAGTATGTGCCCTGACCGGGAACTGAAGCTGCGACCTTGTTGCACAGGATGATGCTCCACCAACTGAGCCACACCAGCCAGGGCAGGAAATCCTATTTTTCTAAGCCTGCAGCCAGTGAGGAATAAAAGACATTTACTAAGAGCCTACTATGTGCCAGGAACTTTTCATGTTTTGTTTCATTTAAAGTAAAAATAGTATATCACTTTTAAAGAATGTATACAGCATAAAAAAGCATTTGCAGTGCAGAACTTTTTCTTGGATATGATTGAGCACAGGTATAGTGATTTTATCTTAGCATGAACATGAGAATACACAAATACTGCCTGGATGTTTCCAGAATGCACAAAGGCATCACTGTGTAATATAAAATTTAAGCTAAATAA